ACTGCTTTTGTCTGGAAAGTTAGGCCAATTTAATTTTTTTCCCTTTTCGTTATTTGAAGCATTGTTTCTTATGCATTTTAGTGGCACTTTGTGTTTGCCATATTCCTGGCTCCTAGTGTTAATAGCTAGCTAATGTTTTTGCTACTGTAAGGCATTTTGTGAAGTTCAGTATTTATGGCCTATTTTATAGGTGACAGTGCTCGATCCCAGGTTTTGAGAGAGAAAGTTATTGAATTGGAAACAGAAATAGAAAAATTTAAAGCTGAGAACACATCTTTAGCTAAACTTCGTATTGAACGAGAAAGTGCCTTGGAAAAGCTCAGGTAAGTTTATGTCTGTAAGTTGGGAAACAATATACAGTGATTCAATGATATCTTTAAGACTATATATGAAAATTTAAAACATTTTTAATCAATCCAACAAGTGTAAATGAAAAGGAGGTGAAATATGTATCACATAAGTTTTTTTATTAAATAAAATGACCCAGTGTAGTCAAAGATATGTTAAAAGAGGAATTTCCTTAGTGATGAGATCATAATCGACAATTGAAAAGCAATTTGGAGCTATGAATTCAAGTGATACCTTGGCTAGTGGATTAGTTTCCTAGGGCTGCTATAACAGAGTACCACAACCTGGGTGGCTTCAAACAATAGAAATCTATTTTCTTTTGGTTCTGGAGGCTAGAAGTCCACAGTCAAGGCATCAGCAGGGCCATGCTGTCTCTTCGAGCTGCTGGCAGTCCATTTGGGCTTCAACCGTTTGTTTCTTGGCTTGCAGCTACAGCACTCCAGTCTCCAGTGTTTTGCTCACGTGGCCATCTTCTCGCTGTGTCTGTGTCTTCACGTGGCATTCTCCTCTACGTGTGTGTCTGTCTCTGTGCCTCTCCTCCTTTTCTCACAAGGACTGTGTTATATACACCCTACTCCAATATAACCTCATCTTAACTTTCATCTTAAATTATATCTGCAAAGACCCTGTATCCAGTAAGGTCACATTCACAGGGATTAGGACTTCTACATACTTGTTTTAGAGGATACAGCCCCACCCACAGCAGTCAGCAGTATAACATATGTAGTTTTCCACCTAGGTCATGATCTGACCTGAAATTTATTGGGTAGCAAAACCTGAACTGGACATACCTATTTTTAAAATTGTACTTATTACCAGTAGTGATAAGTTCTGTTGGAGAAATACTAATGCGTTTTATTCCAGGTGTTGCTGGGGGTGTTATATAAAATATAGCATACGCACTGTTTTTCTTTTTTTGTTTTTGTTATTTTAATGTTTGAGGTGAAATCCATACAACTTAAAATTAACCACTTTGAAGTATACAATTCAGTCCTGACTTCGTGAGTGCCTTGCTAAGAAAAATAATAAAGCATATAATTCATGGGCATTTAGTGAACCTTTACTTTTTTATCACCCCAGAAGGACGTCCCATATCCATTAATTAATCACTCCCTATTCCTCTTCTCCCCCCACTTCTTGGCTACCACTAATCTGTTTTCTGTCTGTATGGATTTACCTATTCTGAAAATTTCATTTAAAATAAATCATATAATGTGTCATCTTTTGTGTCTGGCTTCTTTCACTTAGAATAATGTATTCAAGGGTCATCTGTATTATGGTGCATATCTATACTTTATTACTTTTTATGGCTGAATAATATTCCACTTGTTTTGATATACCACATTTTGTTTGTTGTCCATTGTTCATCTGTTGATGGACATTTGGGCTTCAACCATTTTGCTATTGTGAATAATG